CCCCCCACCTTTTCCCCTTCCCATTTCCCGTCTCACCTACCCTCAACCCAACATGATAACGCCGAATTCTGAAAGTCCAATACATTGCATATATTTATTATTATACAGATTTCAACATACGTTAAGGACCACCTTGACAGTCAGCCCTGATTTTTTTTAATCCAAAAAAATTCAGCAGGGAATGTTTCAATTTTTATTTTTTTTGCTCTAAAAGTGTTAATGGGTTACCAATGCGTACTGCAAAGCTTCCTAAAAGAGAAAAACCACCACGTGCAGCACGGAAATCCTCTGGGAATTTTAGCCGAATTTGCCGGTTTTTATCGACTTGTGGGCGACACCACGGACATTCCTCAGTTAAAATTTTTGGCGCACGTCATAGACGGTCGTATGGTCTCGAACTGTGCTCACTTTGGTGGCAATATAAGGAGCCCTTTACGCAAAATCCAGTATCGCATCAACATGCCACAAAGACGAAAGCTGAGAGATGGTGCCAGGGCTATGGCACTTCTGCAGGATGAAGTTGGGGACCGAGAAGTTGTCAGAAGGCTTGCAGTGTCATACTCTGTCATTGTCCGCCTGAGGCAGCACCATCAAGCCACTGAGTCAGTCCAAGAACGCCCACATGAAGTTAGACCCAAGAAGACCACTCAGAGTGTTTGCAAATCGTCCTTAACTTATGTTGAAGTCTGTATGAAGTTCTAATATTATCAACGGAAATCTTATCTCCCATCCTCAGTACCACACCAACACAGAGACATTCAAAAGCCAGATCGTCAAGGAAAGAGTAAGTCTTTGGAGAGAGCTCGTAATCCTCATCATCATCATCATCATCATCATCATCATCATCATCATCATCATCATCATCATCATCATCATCATCGTAGATTGCAGGGAATGAAACAGTCATGGTATTTTCTTTTGTTGGCTGATACTGAAGTACCGGTAAATACAATTTCAAGAATGTTTTAAAAAACTGGGGGTTTTTTTGCTTTTGCTGTTTGTTTGTTTTCCCTGTTTAAGCTACAGGAGCCTGCTGGTGTTCGGCAAACATACAAAGACGTGGCAACACTTACCAAATATGTTCCAACTGAAGAATAACAACAGGGCTAATAGAGCAAGCAATAGCACCAACAAGCGCACAAGAGAAAGCCCCAAAAGCACATATTCTATTTCACCCAGAATCAACAACTTGTACAAGGATAAACCCAAGAAAATCCTCACAAAATCTAGAGCTGTACGTAGGTGGACGCTCACGTCGACGCCATTTTTGTTCCTCCGTCTTCCCTTCCTAAGTCAGCTACCCCTTTTCCCTTCCCCTTTCCCGTCTCGCCTACCGTCATCACAACATGATATCGCCGAATTCTGAAAGTCCAAAACATTGCATATTTATTTTTATAATATAATAATGTTCTTATAATATTATCGATGGAGATCTTATCTCTCATCCTCAGAACCACACAAACAGAGAGACATTCAAAAGCCAAATCGTCGAGGAAAGAGTAAGCCATTGAAGAGCGTTTATCAGCACCATCATCATCATTATCATCATCATCATCATCATTGTATTTTCTTTTGTTGGCTTTCCCTATCGTTTTTTTTTTGTTTGTTTTTTTTGTTTTTGTTTTTTTAGGCGCACTGGATACTGAAGTACCGGTAAATACAACATCAAGATTTTTTAAAAGTTCTTTAATTTCTTTTTTTTTCTCATATAAACCGCAGGAGTCTGCGGGTGTTCTCTGAGTGTGGATCAGGCAAACATTCCAAGATGTGGCAACACTTACTAAATATGTTCCAACTGAAGAATATCAGCAGGGCTAATAGAGCAAGCCAACATCTCACTGCGCACCCTGATTCGACTCTTTAATTCCAATGTCAAGTCCGTGCTCCTCTACGGCTGCGAAACTTGGAAGACAACAAAGACAGTACTGAATAAAGTCTAGACTTCCATCAACAGATGTATGACTGGTATCCTAAGAAGGAAGTGGCAGGATAGAATGAGAAATGAAGAGCTGAGGGAAAGGGCAGGACAAAAGGATATAGAAGTAGAAATAGATCTAAGAAAGTGGCGATGGATGGGACACTCCTTCAGAATGCCGAGCGGAAACATCACAAGACAGTCGCTGCGGTGGAACCCACAGGGAGCACAAGGCAGGGGTAGGCCACGGAAAACATAGAGGAGATTTGTGGAAAGCTCACTTGGAACGAGGTAGGAAGGATGGCCCAGGACAGAAATAAATGGAAGGAGCTTGTATGTAGCCTATACCCTGCCAAAGATGAAAAGCACTGATAATGATGAATAGAGCAAGCAATACCATCAACAAATGCACAAGAGACATCCCAAAAACCACATATGATCTATTTCACCCAGAATCTACAACTTGTACAAGGATAAACCAAGAAAATCCGCTCAAGTCGACGCCATTTTTGTTCCTTCGTTTTCTCTTCTTATCTCGCCTGACCTAATCACAACACAATGATTGCCGGATTCTTTAAGTCCGAAACATTATATATATATATATATCAGCTTATATATTATATACTAGCTGGGCCCCCTTCCGTTGAAAGGAATGATCGATGCATTGACATCAACTGAAAGTCATTGGCCTACTATAATACACTCCACTGGAATGGAGCAATAAATCCTGAGAGATGAAAAAAATTAGAAGGTTTAGGTATAGTGATGTATAGATTGATTCTCTATTCCGTTTTCGTGGTTGTACACTCCATAATGTCAAAGGTTTGGAAACAGTTCGCACGGCTAGTGAACGGAAACATCACTTGTTCACAATGGGGTCTTAGAAGACGGACTTTCTCAAGATTAGATCTAAATGAAACTAATGAAAAATTGAAATCAAACTACAGTGACTTCAGGCTCCTCAATAAAACTGTGCACCCTTGAAATGATTCTGAACCACCTTTAATTTTGTCAAATTCGAAAGTTAAGTGGTTCGGAAGTTTTTGGCGGCCAAAGTGCATAGATACAGATATAGAGATCACATGTATTGATGTTCTGCACTGATATTATCTATGGAAATCTTATCTCTCATCTTCAGTACCACACCAACAGAGAGACATTCAAAAGCCAGATCGTCAAGGAAAGAGTAAGTCACTGGAGCACGCTCATGAAATATAAATATGGAGTCTTTCTGGAGTAACAGTATTAATTTCTCAGGGCCTTATAGGTCCCATCAGTGAACCTTAATTTTTTCCTCATTGAAATTGCCTATTTCATGACAAAATCAACAGAAAATCATCATCATCGTCATCATCATCAGCATCATCATCAGCATCATCATCATCGCTGGGGTGAGCACGATATGAAAAGACGATTTGTGGAGACTTGAGAATTGGGATTTTTATATTATTATAAAATATGTTCAATGTTTTGCCCTTATGGGCTTCTCCATTTTTCTTTTGTTGGTTTTTCACATTGTTTCTTTTTTAAGGCACACTAGATTTTAAGAAAATAAGTACAAGTCAAGAAAAATAACAGGACTAATAGAGCAATCAATAGCGGCAACAAATGCACAAAAGAAGGCACAAAAAGCACATATCTCTATTTCTCCCAGAAACAACTAGGATAAGCAATGAAAATCCGAAAAAAAATCTAGAGCTGTATCGAAACGTATACTCGGGTCGACGCCATTTTGGTTCTCTCGTCTTCCCTCTATATTTTAGTCCTCACACACCGTTTTCCCCTTTTCACCCATTCCTACCCTAATTACAAAACGATAACTGCCGAATCTTACAAGTGCAAAAAATCATATTATGTTGATGTTCTGATATCATCGATGGAAATCTTACTCTCATCCTCAGTACCACTCCAACAGAGAGACATTCAAAAGCCAGATGGTCACACGGTGGAGAAGCAGTAAGGAAAGAGTAAGTCACTGGAGGGCACTCACCAAGTATGTTGAGTTTTATTGGAGTAATTTTAAACTGTCTCGGCTTTATATTAGGTCCCGCTGGAAAACTAAACTTTGTCCCGTTGAAATGGCTTAAGTCGTGCCAAGGAAAAGGAAAATTAAACAGCGGTATCGAGTACATTAACCCATCTAGAAATACGGGATCTTGCTGTTCAGTAATTTGGCAGACTAGTCCTTCCCTCTTCCCCTTAACCCCCCCCAGTCCCAGTTCTCCTTTCTTCCGAGTTACAACAGGATCATTAGTTGAATGTTTCCACTGAAAATTATTCCAGTGAAAAAGAGACAGTATCCGTAATCTAAGTACCTAGTTTCCGCTGTAATATATCAGAATAAAATCTTGTCTTTGGTTCTCAGGTCTAAATCAAAAAGGAGAAGTTCAAAAGGCAAAGCGTCGAAGTCTGGAGAAGGGCGGAGGAAGAGTTCTAGACATTCTCGTCGTGGGACAGAGTAAGTCTTTGACACAGAGAGGGAGAGAGAGAGAGAGAGAGAGAGAGAGAGAGAGAGAGGGGGGGAGGGCTGGGGAGTTGAGTATTTTTGTTAACTTAGTTTAAAATCGGAAAGATTAAGGTCGTTATGCCAAAGCCCATTTGAAGAGAAGGTGTCTCAAATACCATTAACCACTAGATCTAGCCCTGATTGGGAGACTAATAATGGTATAATATTATACTGAACGCCATTAAAAACGCAAAGTTTTCAAAAATGTATTTATAAAAACCAAATATGCTCTATCGTCACGATTTTTTTTTAGACACAAGTGAGCTGTTGTTAGTCCACACACCTATGCACAACTTTTGTTACATCCTTGAGTACTTTCATCACAATACAGTAACTTATGCTGCAGTAAAATATATTCATTAGTTACTATAAACGAATATGAGCGCCAAATGCAAGGAGAGCCTTCACTACCAAGAGGAGACAGACTCCCACACACTCAGCACAATTAAAGAAAAGTGTGTGCAGGGCAAAGCGAAAAAAAATTTGCTCCGAGGAGTGGTCAGGCGTGTCTCAAACCAGCTCCTCATGGAGACAATTAGCAGGAAGACCCTGAGGTGGACGCTGGAAAGGAGAGATGAGCAGCTATGGACATGTGCCGCCTGCTATGATTCTAGCTCTGGATCCAAGTAAATCCAAGTAAATCCAAGAATAAAAAAGAATTTAGCTCTACCTGGAAAACGACCCGTAGCTCTTTCTAGACAAAAGTCCTAGCTTTTTTCGATCATTTTTGTTTTAATTTATTTCATTACAAGAATCCTCAACTTAGCGGAACTGATCGCAACTTTCGCTTCCGCCTTGTTCATGGCGGAAAATCTGCCTGAGAAGCAGCAATACGGCTGAAATGCAGTGCTTGTGTTGTTCTCAGATTAAACAAAGATTTTAGTGCACTTGACATGTCCCGGATGGACAAAAAGAATAGGGCAGTCTCGAGTGATCAACCCTGCTCAAGAGTGATGGATTCTGCTGTCACATTTGCGAAACTGTTTCTTTCCTTAAAAGCAACAGCTCAAGGCATGCATGGAGAGCGTGAAAATGTTTCTTTCATCAGTGTGAGGCGCGGAGTAGTTAGTTCAGGACTTAGACTTAGATCAAGAATGCCTTATTTAGGACTGCAATTAACGAAGCCACGGCATTAGCGCAGAGAAAAAATCAGAACCTGTTAGTCATCCAACACGGCACTCCTGTCCTCACACTGCCCATGTAACAAACAGCACAGTTTCTGGAAAAATGGAATGGCCAGTATTCGTACCAGACATGTCTCCAACAGCGCACGTATGGGATTAGCTGAACCGCAAAGTGTGTGCCGTTTTGCGAATCTGCAGCTATTGGGAGATTGCACTGCCCCCAAAGTGAGACAGAATTTCTCAACAAAACATTGAAAATGTTATAAAATCCATGTGAAGGCGTCTTTTGGTCTGTATACATGTTCATGATTGCCGTAGAATTTGTTAAGAGTGAGAGGTCTTTATTGAGTTTCGATTTCTGTTTAGCTGCAAATGTGTGTGAAGGGGATACTCCAAAAGAAGGAAGACAGTGTATCGAAATCAGTTGAAGTGTGTGGTGATCAAAATACTTCACATTTGTTGGAGAGTGAATAAAGCGAATAATTATGATTAGAATACGAAATAAAATTCTCCCAGAAATAGCCTGAGAACAGTGTGGCTTTATTGAAGGCAAAGGCACTGTAAATGCCATGTATGTCATCAGAACAACAATAGAACGTGCCCTGGAAGTTTAGAAATATCTTCATTTATGCTTTATAGTATAGACTACACCAAGGCATTCGACAGAGTTAGGCACGACAAGATCATCGACATACTAGAAGTCCTCAATATTGACGGGAAGGATTTAAGGATTATCAAGAACAGGTACTGGGATCAAACCACTGCAATAAGAATAGAAAACGACATCAGCGAATACATACAGATTAAAAGAGGAGTCAGATTGGGATGTGAACTTTCACCAGACTTGTTCTCCCTGTAGAGTGAAAGTATCATGAGACACACAGAAGAAATGCCAGGTATCTCGATAGGGTGACATAACGTAAGCAATCTAAGATATGCAAACGGCGCTGTCCTAATAACAGAAGATTAAGAACACCTACATGATCTATTAAATGTCATCATACAAGAGAGTAACATTACCTGGGCCTAAGCCTAAAATCGAGAAAACTGAAACCATGGTGATAAATAGAAAAACTCCAACCCCAACCTACAATATCAAAATCCAAATATTTGGGGACCATTATATCATCAGAAAGGAGATGCCACACCGAAATTAAAAGCCGCATTTATCAAGCAAAAGCAACCTTCCATAAAATGAAACATCAACCTGTCACTGGAGGAAACAAGAAAAAAAAAGTACTGAAAATTTACATCGAGCCAATCCTATTAAACGGATGCGAAACATGGACAATCAATAGACAGCCGGAAAGAACAATTGAGGCGACAGAGTTGTGATTCTTAAGATGCACACTGCGTATCCCATGGACAGCAAGAAGAACAAATGAAGAAGTCTTGGTTGAAGCAAATTACAGACGACAGCTTATGACGAATGTACGAAAGCGACAGGCAAATTTCATTGGACACTCAATGCGGAAAGAAGCAGTGGAGAATATTGTAACAACAGGCATGTTTGATGGAAAGAGAGGCAGAGATAGACAGAGGGAAAAGATACTAGACTAGTTGACAACGTGGCTGGGAACAGCAAGAACAATAGACACCATCGTTGCAACGCAAGACAGATATAAGTGGAAATCCATGATTGCCCACGCCTGTCGCCAAGGCACCGGATGATGATGGTGAATAAACTTTTTTTTAAACACTTTTTTAATCGATCATCATTTGATAAAAACGTGTACACACTCTGTGAACGAAGTTTTTCGTTTTAATGACGTTCAGTATAATATATATATATATACCTATCTACATCCATTCTATATATCTACCTCACCTATATATATATATATATAAAATTTTTTTATATATATATATATATATATATATATATATATATATATATATATAATATAATATAATTTATGTGTGTGTGTGCGTGTGTGTGTGCATGTATATATGAAGGTTATGAAACTCGCGTCTTTCATTAAAAGGTTCCAAATTATGTCAGATGACGGTTGGGAACGCAGGGCGCTGCAACTTGTCGGAACCAGTCTTCTTAAACAACAAAATGACGCTCCTTTTCTTTACACATGATACACATTAGCGACTATCATTTTTATATCTACCTTCTCAAGGTAGAAACTGAACCCTATTCATTTAATAAAGTCAATTTATCCATGTGTTAACAACTATATAATCGGTTTTTTAAATTCCAGAGATTCGCTGGAGATGATATGGGAAGGCACGGCGTCGCAGTTCAGTGAAGGAATGAGAGATGCTCGGCTGTCTCTGTCTGCGGCCAATAATGGTAAAGGCTCTTTTTTTCCCACAGTATCTATCTGGAGACGTCACCGACGGAGATAGACCTCCAGTCTGTGGGAGAGCGACTGGGAAAAACAGAAAAACAATAAACTGTATGTTATAAAACCCAAACTGGAACAGCGAGATTCTTCGGACCTCTCCAGAAGAGACGAAGTCATTTTTACTCGATTGCGCATCGGACACACGGCCCTGAACCACAAATACCTCCTACAGGGAGATGAGAAGCCGTTCTGTGTCGGATGCGACACAGAATTTACCATTAAACACATCTTAACCGAATTAACCGAATGTCTAGACTTTGGAGAGATCCGAAGGAAATATTATAAATGCAAGAAATTGCAAGTCATTTTTTCCGTTGTTGGTCCCAGCAGAATTTTGAATTTTATGAAGGCCATTGGCCTTTATGGCAAATTGTAAAGTGAAACAATATTGTTTAAAAAATCTTATTGTTATTTATAAGAGTTGTTTTAAATATATTTACACAGAATTTTAAATATTTTAGCTTTTTAAAAGTCTAATAGTTAACCAACCGTGCAGTGAACTGTTGCGAATGCAACCAACTTGTGTTTCGCGCGCTCATATGACCTTATGCAGTTGCGAGCGCCGTAAAACCCAATACTACTACTACAGACGGAGATAGACCAATCAAAATGCTTTGTGCCTCTGGACTGTTTTAACCCGCGATTTGATATGATGCAGTTACGTTTGAAATCTTCTTGAAAATAATCGATTTGCGACAGTTTTAGTGGCTACAAGTGTGATCTGCAGCAAACAATGCATAATTTGACCCTTTAAGCTGTGCATCTCTGTGCGGGAGAACGTCTCCAAATAGTTCCTGGGTGCTCGCCGGAGACGCCTCCGAATATCTTCTCCACTTTTTTAGAATTGGGAGCATCACGGGTGAGCCATCGTGATGCTGCCTTGCCGCAAACGCCAAGGAACCTACAATCCCAATATTTTAGCTGTATCGATAGTGGCATATTTACGGAATTAACCCTCGCCTACACCGTGGGGACATACCCCAACCGTGTTCTATTTTAGGTTACGGTATTAGTGTTAAAGAGTTAGGGTTAGGGTTTTAGTTTTATCAAAATTCTTTAACATCATTCAGTTTCTATCATTCGGTTTCCGAGCCTTTGGGTTCACCAAAATTGGACTTAACTCCATTAGTACATGATATCAGGTGTCGATTCCAGCTGTATCTTTTTTTTTTTTTTTTTGGTCCTCACCGTGGTAGCCAAAGACTTAAAAATTAAGACAAAGGCGTTGGCTATTCCGCGGTAGAGCTCGTTTTCTATGAAAACGTTTTGCAGGCGCACTTGACACTGATTATTAGTGGAAGAGAGACAGGGTGAACCCTTGAAAATTGCAACAAAGATAAGAGTTATATCGGTCGACAGATACATGACAAATAAGGAGGAGGTGTGGAGAGAGAGAGAGAGAGAGAGAGAGAGAGAGAGAGAGAGAGAGAGAGAGAGATGTTTCGTGGGCCGTGTGAGATACATCTCAGCAGACAGACTGACAAGCAACATAACATGTTTCTCCGTATAGTGTCCAACTCAGTGTGTGTGTGTGTGTGTGTGTGTGTGTGTGCGTGTGTGCGTGTGTGCGTGTGTGCGTGTGTGTATGTGTGTGCGGTATGTTTGTTAATGAGTGTGTCTCTCACTGTGTGTGTCTCTGTGTGAAAGTATGTACATTGTATGTGAGTCAAAGAGAGAGCAAATTGTGCATACTATATGTGTGTGTCTATGTGTGCGAGTAATTATATGTGTGCTTTGGTTCTCTTATCGTATCCTTCTGTTTCTAACATGCTGCTGTTTCCAAGCTCCGACTCTAAATGTGGTATAGTGTGCGTTTAGATGGAGAGGATTTCCTGACATTGGTCTCTTTTATTTTCGGTTCAGAGTACACACAAGAAAGAGGCAGCGGATCAGGGGTCCTGTATGATGAAGGAGGGCGTTTCTATAAGCCATCCCCACTTGAGTCGCTCTCGGAAGTACACAGTTTCATGGCTCGGGCGCTCGACGACGACCAGACGCCAGAAACTAGGTCGACAAGCCTCTCATCACGACAAACGTCATCCAACAGACAATCAAGTGAGAGTTTTGCCCAGCAGATTAAGATATCAGTACCGCCAGGGACCAAAAGCAGCAGCAATAAGAAATCCGAGACGTCTGACGGCTGTGATCCTTGTATTTCCGCTACGCTTTGCCAGGATGTAGCGGAGCGAGAGCACGCACAGTGCGCTGACAGCACATTACCACCCATTGACCTGTTTAGTAACACTTGCTTCACTAACAGCTTGATACGATCCATGAGACAGGCACAATGTACCAGTAATAATAATATTAACAACGGGGAGCCAGAGCAGAACGCTGGAAATTTTGACAGCAACAAAGGCTCGACCACTCAAACTATCAATAGCAAATCGTCTTCCAAGGCAGACTACGCCGTGACTGATGCCCTCTCCTCGCGATTCCTGTATTATTCAGAACCATCACCTCCAGCAAGCACGTGTTCAGACGACTTCATCGCCATAGCGAATAGACAGACTAGCAACAATGTCTATGAAGCATCCGGTAAAGTTACAGAGTCCCCCCCAAGCTGCACGGATCAATGGAGTGTGCTACCCGACATCCAAAAGCACCATGGGATTACTACAGCTAAGCGGCAGGCGAGTCCTCGTAATGCTCATAGTTATCATTCAAAGCAATGGCCGGTTCAGACAAGAGAGAGCAGCTCTTTTGGGCCCCAAAAGGTATCACAAGCCAATGTCGATGACAATTGCTGTAAGATTAGAAACGTCTTCGCTGGTACTTCGTTACCCACTAAAATAAGTTTACAGACGTTCCAAAGGGCCCCCGTCACCACTCAGCCTGATAGGAGTCTACAACTACAAGACCAAAGCCCTTGTTGAAACGGCAAACATGGGCGTCATAACAGGTGACTTTGACATCATTTCTATTCATCATCATCCAGTGCCTTGCCGACTGGCGTGGGCGATCATTGACCTCCACTTCACCCTGTCCTGCGCTGCAGCAATGGTGTCTGTTGTTCTTGCTGCTCCCAGCCATGTT